TGCTCTCCAGTTTTGTGTTGCTAAGCGGTATCCAAGCACGTGACCACTAGCTGCAAAGGGCCTATTGGTGACGCTGATTCCATCAAGGATTTCTTCGAGAAGTTTATCGAGGATAAGAGGTATGTGAAGACATATATATCTTGAGCATTTGCATGTCCACTTTAGAGAGCGAGAAGAAATTAAAACCGAAAAAGGAAACGCGAAGAACGACGCGCAAGAGATGTCTTCGCGGTTTAAAAAGAGATCGGAAGCTCGCACTCGGAATGATTATATTAAAAATTGCAACAAACTGGAAATTTCAAAATGCAGAACTAGTCTGGCGCAGCATTCCTTCTTGTACAGAGCTGTGATTATTTGGAACTTACGTCATGATGAACTCACAGGAATCATGCGTAACTACGCGTTGTGATTGGATGACTTACTGGAAGGTAGTATGCATGGAAAGCAATCAGTTGCAGCGTAACGCGCAAGAGTATGACCATCTTTAATGTGTTTGTATACTTCTATGCCCGAGCTTTTGTCTGTCAAACGAGCGTTTCGCTTTATTTGCCTAAGACCATCCAGCTCCGCATCGAAATGTCCGTACATAGAAGTATGCGATTGCATTAAATGTAGTGATACTTTTGCGCGTTGCGCTGTAAACATTTCGAACTTTTAGATTTGCAAAATCTAAGACGGTGACGTCAACCGGAAGTGTAAATAACTTCTCTTTAGGGTTCTGTTCATTGGAGATTTCATGGAAAACATTGACAGTAAGGTCAACTTATCCACAGGAAAGAAAGACTTGGAAGATGCCCGGACCCTAAAGGGAAGTTATTTACACTACTGGTTGACGTCGCCGTCGTAGATTTTGAATACGGCATACAGTACTTTATGGAGTGGTATTTTGGTATAATTGTGGGAAACAGAAGACATCAGTACTGTAGAGCTGCTGTAAATCAGTAATGCACTTTTCCCCTTAATAGGAAAACGTTACTCTAGTGTTGGGATCCCTGTGTTTACTCAGAGTATTATGGGCTATTGAGAGCACATGGCATGAGTGAGTTTGTTTGTAATGTTAAAAATAAAATAAAATAAAATAAAATAAATAAAAACTTTTTTTTAAATGATTGCGTTTGTGGAGTAACCACTTTAATCTATTAACTGAAAGCCGATTAAAGGACCTGAAGAATTTCCTCAGCTTTATTCTCGTCACCAGAGGATTTACATATGTGATTATTCATTAGAGGGGTACTGTCTCAATGTTCTTTAAGCTATACCCTATTTCAGAAGTCGATAACTAACTATTTACAATATTTTCTTATTATTCTCAATTATGCTAATGAACGATGTAAGTTGTGAACCAATTGATACTTCGACGTCTTGTAAAAGCACTCGAAAAGAAACATGCTTCGAGTCTAGATCTTCAATAAATCTGATTGGCCAACGTTGTAAACAATTCGGATTCACTCGTGGACTGTTGGTACTACATGTCCCATTCTTGGTTTGCAATCAATCCCAAGAGAGCACAATAACAAAAGGGATGTCCGCCATGTTGGAAGATATAACAAAAGAATTCATTGAAAAATC